TACTTCACAACATTCGATGCAAATTCAGGATTCCACCAGCTACCTGTGGACGAAAAGGATCGCGAGAAACTCGCCTTCAGGACACACAACGGACTATATCATTATAAGAGGATGCCATTTGGTATCCGAAACGGACCTTCGATTTTCCAGCGAGCTATGGACAAAGCCCTTGGACCAACAAAATGGAACTTTGCTGTAGTCTACATCGATGATATCATCGTGTATTCTGCAGATTTTGATCGCCATCTCTCGCATCTCGATCAGATCTTGGATCGCATAATTAAATCTCGATTCACTTTGTCAATCCCAAAATCTCATGTGTGCTACCAAGAGATTCATGCGTTAGGACACAATGTGAGCCGCCTCGGGATAGGTATGAAACACGAGAACGTCAAGGCTATATTGGAATTTAGACAACCGGCTTCGGTGAAGGATGTACAAATATTTCTGGGCATGACAGGCTATTACCGACGTTTCGTGAAGGACTATGCAAAGATTGCAAGACCACTAACCGCTCTACTGGCCAAGGACAAAGTATTCGTGTGGTCAGCTCACTGTCAGGATGCTTTTGAACGCCTTCGAGATGCTCTGGCAAGTGATCCGATTCTTGTGCATCCGAACTATGACAAACCGTTTATAGTATACACCGATGGATCGAAGATTGGACTTGGAGGAGTGCTCGCACAGATCGGAGACGATGGGAAGGAGCACATGATAAGCGCCGTATCCAGACAGTTGAATGCACAGGAAGAAGGGTATACGGCAACAGAACTCGAGTGCTTAGCCGTCTTGTGGGCTCTAAGAAAATTCCATCCCTACATCGATGGTATGACAGACGTCTCAGTGATCACAGATCACATTGCGCTTCAATGGATCTGGAATTACAAAGGCACTAATGCTCGATTGAAACGATGGAGTTTAGAGCTACAACCATACAAATACACCGTTACTATTAAGCTTCGGCCAGGAAAGACACATGCCAACGTCGATGCTCTATCCAGAGCACCTCTGATCAATACAGCACCACCCGAAAACGATGCAGACTGCTTTAATACACTTGTTACGACCATCCCTCCGCAATTCTTCAAAACAATACAGAACGGATACTTACAAGACGAGTATTTTGCGCCCATCTATGAGCAAATGCAATCCGATACGAGGACCGGACACCTACAGCAATTCATACTCGAAGATAACCTGTTATTCAAACGATCAGCGGACGGACAGTCGAGACAGCTAGTGCATACCGAAGTACAAACAGCTTCGAGACAAGATTTTGCATGATCACCACGATGCGGTGATATCTGGACATCAGGGCATCGAGAAGACATTGAATGCAATAGCACGAACGTATTATTGGCCTCGCATGGGTCAGAACATTCGAGACTACGTGCGGTCCTGCGAAAAGTGTCAGCAGAATAAATCATCAAATCAGCGACCGCTCGGATACCTGAGACCGAACCCTGTGCCTCCTGGACGATGGCACACGGTGACAATTGATTTTACCGGTCCCTTCGTACCGATAGATAGGAACGGAGACGTCGACTCGATCATGGTGGTGGTAGATAAAGCAACGAGGCGCTGCCACTTCATACCTGTCCGGCAAAGCAACACTGCTGAAGACATTGCTTCAGCATACTTCAAGAATGTCGGCAAACTGCATGGCGTACCTCGTGTGATTGTGTCGGACCGAGATCCTAAATTTACCTCGCGGTTTTGGACTGCACTGGTAAAGACCTTCGGCATTAAGCAAGCGATGTCGACATCGAATCATCCACAAACCGATGGGCAGACTGAGCGAATGATACGCTATCTGAAGGACATGCTACGACATTTCATTAGCTACAACCAGAAAAATTGGATCGAGCTCTTACCTGCGCTCGAATTTGCATATAATAACGCCGTGAACGCAACCACGGGCCGGAGCCCTTTCGAACTTGATTACGGATATCATCCGTTCGTGCCTCATGGGTTGGAGACCGGTGACAGCTCAGGCAACGAAGACTTTGACGAATTCTTAGAAAGGCTTCAAGCGGCGATGATCGAGGCCGAAGACTCAATTATCAGAGCACAAGGCATACAAGCGAGATATCACAATGCTCACCGTCGAGGACACGAGTTCAAAGAACAGGAACTCGTGTGGTTATCTGCAAGTCATATCCACCCGACTTGGGAGAAGAATCGGCGCACTCGGAAGCTTTTACCTAAGTATTACGGCCCTTTTCGAATTATAAAGAAGGTAAATGAGAATGCTTACCGATTAGATCTTCCAGAACACATGAGAGTGCACCCGGTGATCAACATCGAATTTCTAAAGCCATACATAGAAACTCCTGAGGAATTCAGCAAGCGGAAGCGAAAGCCGGACCCACCAATGACGGTCGAAGGGCAGGCAGGACATGAGGAGCTAGATTGCATTAACGATCACGAAGTAAGGAACGGAAAGCTATATTACCTCGTGCAATGGAAAGATCAGGCCGTCCATGAGAGCCGATGGCTGCCCCGCGACGAATTGCTTATCGGAGCACGCGAGATGCTTGAAGAATACGAACATGCGCACGGAATTATAACTCAGATGTCAACAGAAGAGCCTCATGCAAGAAACGTGGGAAAGCGTACCTCACAGAAGAATGAAGCGACGCCAAACCGCAAAGCAAGAGCAGTATGGAATGGCATAGCACGAGAGACAAGAGGATCACGAGGCGATAGGAGGAGAATCGCCGCAAAACGTGCAGCAAAAGTTCCAGCAAGATCGAAAGTTGCAAACAGCACAAAATAGCTTCGCAGTTGTGTATAAGAGCATTCCGAACTCACCGCTTCAAAATCGGCGAACATTCCTCGAATAGTTCTCCATAGATCACCTCAGCTCATCGTTCCAACTCTCACACCATGCCTGCTTTCTATCGCGACGCTACGCCGTTCTATCAGCGCGATGTACACACTCCTTCTTCCATCTCTCATACTCACGGCATCAAACTTGTTACGACGCCGGCGATATCGCCTTCATCCGACAATTATTCTATCATTACGACTCCAGGCTCTCCACCTGGCCTCTCTCTAGCATCCCTGGGCTCTTCACCAAGTCTCTCTTCGCTGGACATCAACGATTCCATCAAATCGTTCGATGGTCAGTACGATTATTGTAATACAAAGGACACCGCTAATAATTTCGACACAGAACTCGAATATCCATCGTCAGAGACTGACGAATCTCCTGACGAGGGGGAGACGACGCAGGCTACATGCAACGCCGTTGTTCCGGCTCCTACTCCTGGAACGGCTCTTGCATACATCACCGATCTCCTGCGACAACTACAGGAGTCTCGCGATCGATCTTCTTCGTCCGGCACATCACCCGAGGTCATAGA